AGCCGGGTGAGGCGAAAAGCAGGCCTGCCCGCAGCCGCCTCACTACAAGCAGGGACTGGGGTTGAGATGATGCGGCAGTTGAGAGCACTTGGAGAGAACCGGAGTCCCATTCCCAGCATCCGCATGGTGACTCATGCTATCCGTAACTTCAGCTACAGAGGACCTTACACTCTTACAACATTTGTAGGTACCTGGCATGCACAATGTGCTGTATGTACAGACAGAAGCAAATAACTCAGACACATAAAAACTTAAACACACATAAAAAAAAAAAAAGTAGGGTCCATCACTAATCCGTGGTTAGAATGGCATGGGCTACAGAAAGTAAGCTCTAATATTCTTCCATCGTTAATTTGCTTCCTTTTCCTCTCCACCTCTTAAGAATTGTCAGCTGACACCTATGGAAATTGTCACTTTTCTCTTAACCCCCCACCCGGTGGTTTCATGCTCCTCCCTCTGGAGTCCTGCTCACTTCTCACCATGTCCAGTGCTCTACAGGTGACCTCTGCACCTGGCGATTACAAGCATATGGTGTACGAGAGTTAATATGGAAAACAAAGGACTTGGTTAGTTTTCATTGGGGCCACAAATTTTACAGGGACGATCTGTGGAGCCGATGAGCATGATCAGTTAGTTACTTCCTGCTGTATTTTTACCCCAGTCAGTGCTGAACCCCAGCACAAAACGTGTCTTGTACATATAAAATAATGACAAAAATCAAAGTTTAATGTCCCTTAGTATAGATCAAGGAGTTAATTTGTATGGTAAAATGTTATTATGGATATACTTATTAATAATGACCAAAACTTGTAATCTTTACTATGCAAATTTTATTAAAAGATTCAGTCATCAGAAAATTTGGAAAACAAAAATCTACCTTACTGATTTCTCATTATTTGCATAATGAAGAACTTCTATTCCACTGCTTCTCAAACTCTTTGCTATCTGTAGTTGTACTAGATAATCTTTTCTTTTTTTTCTAAGATAGTCTCACTATGTACCCCTGGCTGTCCTAAAATACACTCTGTAGACCAGGCTAGCCTTCCACTCAGAGATTCCTGCACCCCTGCCTCCCTGCTGGGATTAAAGGCATGTGCCATTATGCCCGGCTTGGGCAATTAATTTTCTTGAAAATTAAAAACATCAAGCAGAAGTATCCTAATTCTTCATTAAGTAGGGGTCGTCATTCCTACAATGAACTCAGAGTTGAACAGAACTGCCTCAGCTGGAGTAGAGGGATTCTGACATTAGAACCCAGGGTGTCTTCTCTGACATTTCCCTGTCTGGTTGCAAAGTTTAGCCTCAGCGGCGTTTCCAGCTGGAATTCCCAGAAAGAATCTAAACTTCTTTTCTAGCCCATCGTCTCTGACATCCTGAGGCTGATGGCAAATCTTTATTCTCCCTACACAGCTTCTTCCCTGTGCTGTTGATGGCACTTACCTCACGCACTCCATTTTTACACGAAAAACACAAGATGGCTGTGACTGTCAAGACCATGTAAGATATGTTACTCTGTAGTGATATTTCATTTGTATTTTAATAAATAAAGCTTGCCTGAAGATAACAGAGTAAAACAGCAACACTGGCCAGCCATACAGACTAGGCAGTGTTGGCACACACCTCTAATCCCAGTAGCCACACTAGCCATAGAGGCCAGGCGGTGGTGGTACATGCCTTTAATCCCAGCTCAATCTCATTCTGAGCATTTGTGGAGGCAGGATCGCCATTTCAGTCAGAGGCAGAGGTAAGAGTCAGTGGCTGGCTGCTTTGTTTTTCTGATCTTCAGGTTGAATCCCAATATCTGTCTCTGGGTTTTTATTATTCACGCTACATTCCTTGCCTGTATTAGGGTTCTCTAGAGTAACAGAACACATAGAATGAATCTTTCTCTTTATAGAATATACAAGGGGACTTATTAGAATGACTTACAGGCTGCGGTCCAGCTAATTAACAATGGCTGCCTATGTACATAAGGTCTAAGTATCCAGTAATTGCTCAGTCCACAAGGTTGATTGTTTCAGTTGGTTTTCAGTATATGATGGAATCTCAAATAAGAAGGTTCTAATTTCAGTGAAGGAATGGATTTGCTAGTAGGTGAGAACAAGGAGGTCAAGAACAAAACCTCTTTCTTCTATGTCCATATATAGGCTTCCAGCAGAAGGTATGGCCCCAATTAGAGGTGGGTCTTCCCGCACCAAAACATCTGGATTAAAGGTGTGTCTTCCCACCTCAAAGATTCTGATTAGAAATAGATCTTCCCACTTCAAATTATGAAGAAAAAAAAAATTCCATCATAGCTGTGCCCTCCATTTGTGTTTTTTAGTTAACTCCAAACGGAGTCAAGTTGACAATCAAGACTAGCCATCACACCATCCCTCTGTGCAGGATGTTACCTTGACGGAAATAGACCCTACTTCAGATCACTTTAGACATGGTAACAGAAAGATCTAGAGAACAAATCTAGATCTAGTGAACAAAATAGCTTAATTTTTTTTTTTAAAAAAATAGATTTTTCTGGTTACATTTTTCTTTTTATGTACTGAATCTCAGGAACAGAAAAGACTAAACATGAAGTTAAATTAAATTCTTACAAACAAGGTTGGTGTCCTCAGAAAAAAACTAAAAATGGGGAAAAACAGCTTTTCAGACTACAGTCAGTGATTTTCCTCAAGCAAGAGAGGATCACCTGAGTACTAAGCAGGCTAAGCAGCAAGGCATGATGGGGTTCCTCAGAGCCGCCTGTGTTTTCTCTGTCCCCATGCATGGTAGATACCTGCCAGGAGCACTGCCCGGGAAGGGCTGACACTGACCCCCATGCTCACCCACTTCCTGTCACTGTTTGCTCTGGCCAATGGGTGTGCAGTTGCGTTTCCCTAGCGATTAGTGATACTGAAGACTTTTTCATGTTTTATAGTTTAGGGGTCTTATATTTAGGCTTTTTAAAAGTGTATGTTTCTAATACATTTCTAATGTAGTATAAGGTGGAGTCTGACTTTAGCCTAGACATACTAACATTTTCTCAAAGAGGCTGTTGGAGACAGTCCTTTTCTTCAAAACAGTTAGTTCTGTACATTATTTAGGGCAATTTGACTATATTTAAAAGGCTTTATTTCAGAGTTGTGTACTTTGTTCCATCGATCTGGTGTCTTTAAGACAGTATCACAACGTCATTATTAGTACTTTGTAGTATGTATACATTCAAATGAGTTATTTAGAGTCTTTCTAGAGGGACTGTTGCTGAATCCCTGCTAGTAACCAACACTGCTATAGGACTTGGTCAGCAGAAAGATAGCTCATGCCTACAAACCAGCATTCACGGCCCATTCTTTCTTTTTCTAACACTGATGAGAGTGGATTGCTAATATATTAAACTTAAGGTCACAAACATTCTGGTACTAAATTTTATTTAGAGATGTCTTTTTAAAAACTAGTATTATATATGCCAACAATCTTGGTTTTATAATTTGTGTAAAATTCTCCTGATTTTTACCAGTAGAAAAAACAAATTAGACTCCAAGTAAGACATCTTGTTTTTCTCATCCGTTTAATTTTTCCTGTCTCTTTTCCCTTCCTCACTAATGTCTCAGAAATAAAAGATCCTTGAAGAAAAAAAAACCCTGTCTAGAACTTCTATCATGTTAAATGCACAATTCCATGATGCAATCAAGTTATTAGGCATACCAGTGATGATTATAGACTTTCAGTCATCATCTAGACATTCAAAAAACAGAACAAGATGTCAAACTTACCAGAGAACTAAAACACATTAAAAAGCTAATTTGAACAGATTCCATATTATTTTAGGAGAGTTTGATAAAGATCTGAATGGAAGCTGGCATTCTGAAGACTGTCTTCTGTTGTCTGAACAGGGGATGCAGTCCCAGCTACACTATGATTCTTCTCATTAATGTTTTGTTTTAGCTCACTCCTAAATTTCCCTTATTTCTTCTAAGTGGAATTGTTCATTAATCCAGCAATGGTTCATGAAAGAAGATGTCATTTAATTGTTGCAAAACCCCAGGCATTTATTTCCCTGAAACAGTATTTTTGATCTAAGAACAAAGAAAAGAAGCAAAGTCTATTTTTTTTTTTTTGTCTTTTTTCTTTGGCCATCATAGCAACTTGTAATTAAACCAAACAATACTTATGTAATCAAAACTAATTTTTGCTGGAAGTTTATTTGAATAAAATGGTTGAAGTTACAATCATACATTGAGCTGAAGGTCTAGAAAATAATTTAAGAGAGTAACTTTAGTTCTCACACACTCCTAAATGTGCTGGTTCCCTGGTCCTCAGAAAGGCTGGTAGCCTTCTGCCTACACCTTCCAGTGGAGATGCTTTCTTCACAAAAAAATAGGTACTCTGGATAACAAAGTAAAGTTGTTAAAATTTAAAAAATGATGGGAAGGAGTCACACCACACAACGGGGTTCACATGGGAGTTTTTTTGTTAGAGGAAAGAGAAGGGGCAGAAAAAAGGACAAAAGGGGAGCAGAAACTGGTACCTGGGGACAAGAGTGGCGGAGGAGAAAAAGTGGGATTGGGGAAAGAGAAAGATGAGAACTGGGCAGGACCCACCTCTGAAAAGGGAACACAGCGAATGTGCACAGAGGTGCTCTTATTGGCTGTAGCTGAGAACACAAACTGTCAGGATCCCAAAGGCAGAGCAATAGAGGTACCTGAATACTAACAAAAGTTCCACTACAAAACAAAGTTTGTTCTCCACCAAAAGCAGCCTACTTAGACCAATAAATCTTTACCTTTTTATTTATTTATTTGTTCTGGGAAAGGGTTTCTATGTGTAGAGCTTGCTGGCCTTGAACCCACTCTGCAGCCCAGGCTGGCCTCAAACTGGCCTCTGCCTCTTGAGTGCTAGGATTAAAGGTGTGTACGTGTACCACTACTGCCCAACTACCATAAACCTTTCCTGCAAAATTAGTACTGTAGACGCTCCATACTTAGACACCTGAATTATGCAGTGACCAATACACTGCACACCTAATCAAGTTTACCAGTTTTCAGCAAAGCAGCAAGCACTTTTAAGTCTTTTCCATAGTTTCTTTCAGTTAACAGATGGTGATTCCAGATTTTATAAGGCACACCTTACCATACGCAGAAATAAACAAGAGTCCAGCCAAAGCACACCAACTGCAGAGGACACTATCTCCTGTCCTTTTTGCCAGCTTTCCTCTTCCCAGAGAGTAAGTGCTTAGGCTTCATATCGAACACATGCCTGTCTGCTTCCCCTTTCTTCCCCAAGCGGTTCATCTTCTTCTGGGCTTTCTTCATCATAGTCTTGGCTTTCTTCACCATCTACACAGGAGAATACACATTAATGAAAACCGCATTTCTATCCTACATTGCAATTACCTGAGAAATGTTCTAAGGAAACAGACACAAACTATAAAGACCCTGTTGAGTCTAGTGAATAGATCACACTATTTCCAGAAACTCACTGACTACCTGAATACACCAGGGCCCATTAGATATAGAAGACCAAAGTATCTGCTCAAACTTTCAGAGTAACACACTGAAACTCAGGAGAATACACTGTCACACCTGACTCCTAACTGTCAATGCCAGCATTAAACCCATGGTTGAGTAGTGCACACTTGTAATTCCTGCTGAAGATGGGAGCTGGGAAAGGAGAACTGTGAGTCTGGTCTCCATAGCAAGCTCCCAGTCAACATGGAAAACACAGCAAAACACTGTCTCAACTCAACATTCACCTTCTAGAGGTCCAGATGGAGATGGCACGTGACAAAGAAAAATTTAATCTTTCATTAAGTAGACAGTCTGCCAACTGAATAGGTTTTTTTCTTATATTTGAATTTGCAAAATACTAAAATTTGAAATAAAACTGCTTGTCCTCAAAAAGAAATTTCAGTGAAAATCTTAACACCTATATCATATTGACCCGGGCTGCTCCCTTGAGGGGAAATATTCCAGTATTGTAAAGATGCACAGGATCACCGGTTAAGAAACCAAGTTTCCCCTGGACCATAGGAGAAATAGGGGAATCTTCCTCAGGGGTCACACATCCTAGTATTTTCCAAACAGCTGGGACCTAAGCTCAGCCTGTCATTCTTTATCCTGTTTCTGTCCATTCTCCAGAGTAAGGATTTCAGAATGGATCGACAGGATCCTATGTTCCTCTCCAAAGGACTTCAGCAACCAGGAGGATGGGAAAGAACAGTTAAGTTCTTACCCGTAACCCTGCCCTCTAAACAACTGCCAGTGTTTGCTAAAGACTTTGTACAATAAACACCCGAAGGCTCTCACTTTCTTCTGTCCCCTATCAAAGAAACTAACCTTGACATCCCGAAGACCAGAAACATCACGTGGAGTTCGAGAGCAACTCCGACTACGGGCTATAGAAGAAGGTGGAACAGACTCTTCTCGTTTTCTTTTCCTAGTGACACTCCGAGATCTTGCTTGGACTGCATAGTGGGCCTGAAACACACAAACGGCAAAAACTCAGTAATAAACAAAATTAATCCAACAAGAAGAGAAGATGGTCAATGTTTTAAGAACCATTATTGGACAAGGGAAAGAATGTGGAATGTTTACTGAGATGTACTGAGGGTCTGGTTTGAAGCAAAGGGGTACGGTCCAAAGGCAACACCACACCGCTATTGTTCCTCCTGGGGAGGTTTCAGGAATGTCCAGCTTAGCACCCATGCTCTTGGTAAATCAGATGGTGCTTTTGAGCCATGGTTCTTGCACCTTCCACCTGAGGACGAGCAGGGGATTCACTGTGTGTTAACGTTCTCTACTGGTTAATGTCAACCATGTAAGGTAATGACACTGCTTTAGTTCCACAATTTACAAAGTGTATGTCAAGGTTTCTAACTCCCTCCCTCCCCTCACCCCAAATAGTCTAGGTAGTAGACATATTCACCAGCTAAGTCCATGTATATTATGTGCATGCTATGATATTCACATAATAAAAATCAGCTAGTGACAGACTTCTCAGAACATACCCACATCGTCAAGCAGTCCGGGACTGCAGGGTGTGGTAGCATACGCCTGAGCACCAGCACTGGAGAACTGGAGGCGGGGGGATACTCAATCTGAAGCTAGGCTGGGTTACACAGCAAGACAGTGTCTCAAAACAACAAAAGCACAAATCATATCTGAGACCACGCTGCCCTCCACAGACTTACATTGTCTTTATCATCCATGTTAACACCAAGACTCCGCATCTCATTCTCCAAGTCTGCTCGCTGAACCTAAAGTGAGGAGATGATAACCTGTTACTGGTAAAATGTCTCAGTCCTGCCTTTGCAATGCTCAAAACTGACCTTCTACTGATGGAAGCAGATATAGCGATCCATAGTCAAGTACTGTGGCCAAGCTGCAGGAGTAGTCAAAGAGAGGGAGGAGGGATAATATGAGCAATGGGATCAAGATCACGACAGAGAAATCTACAGAGACTCTGGATTCGAACTAGTGGGGGCTCATAGACTCTGGATCGACAGCTGGGAAATCTGCAAGGGACCAAACTAGGCCTCCCGCATGTGGCAGCTGTGTGGCTTGTGGGAACCTGGCAATGGAATCAGGATTTATCCCTGGTGCATGAACTAGTTTTTTTGCTCAGCTTTGATGCAGCGAGGAGGGGCATATGTGCCTGGCAGTTGACTCTCCAGGCTGTTTCTGAGGAGATGGGGTGGTAGGATAGGAGGGAGGGGGAACTGTGGTTGCTAGATAAAATTAACAAAACAAAACCAAGACTCACCTTCTTAGCAGTTCGGGGCATCCTGGGTCCCTGTGTATTCTTCTCTTTGGACTGTAGAATTTTCAACTTCTTTTTCTCTCTAATTTGTTTTGCCAGCTGTCGGATTTCCATCATTTCTTCATCTTCACTTTCAGAGTCACTGTCATACTCCCCAGCAGCTGTTCTTAGCTCTTCTTCCTTTTCTAACTCTTCCAATTTCTTTAAAAAAAAAAAAAAATCGTAAAATTAACAAAGAAAAACTTGCAAGAAATTAAGTGTAGCAACATATTTATAGGAATCATGCTGGGCCCCACTTGTACATAGCCAATCTCACAGGAAAGGGGACATATGAAGGCCACAGAGACCACATGAACACTGCATGTCCTATTTTCTGCCAATTCTGTTTCATCTTTAAAGATAAAAATGCAGGGACCCATTCCCTCATTCCCCAGCAGATTCACAAAATAAATTTGTACAAACTCGCATTCATTCTCTCAAACGGCACACTGAACACAGTCATGCTATTTACAAAAGACAAAATGAAATTGTAAATACAATTCATACAATTGTATGTGGAGCTGGGGGTGTAGCTATGTGGCAAAGCCCTGGCCTAACAAGCACAAGACACTGGGTTAACCCCCAGCAACAAGCACACACATACAATCAATCAACCGATCAATGATAAGATCATGTGTAAACACCAGCATGCAGTGAAAAAGCAAGTAAGGGATAGGTGCCAAGGTAGGAAGGTCAGTGATGGGACAACTCTCTGGGGAGAATGTGCCTAAGAAAAGGCAGGATCCACTGAAGGCAAACCCCTCTTTCAGATCCTACACATAACGGCGGTAGTGAAAAAGAATCTGGAAATGAGAGTTCACACCCAGGGACTCGATTTTCTTGGGAAAGCAAGGTCAAATGCTGGACTAGCAAAAGGAACTAGCAGGAGGAGGTCTGAGAATGCTCAGAAAGTGCCTACAACAGTTACAGAGAAAAGGCTGAGCCAGTGACAGCAACTCCGCTCTACAGTACCAATCCAAGCCAAAATGACGGAGCCCCATTACAAGCTAGTGTGAAAGGCCTGGCATCACTAGGATTACACAGGGCAAAGGAAGAATAGTGTCATCGAAATAGAAGAGTGATGTCTCTAAGTAATCAGAAACAGGTTGGAAGGATGCCTCAGGGCACAAAACAAAAGACAAAAGGGTAAAGTTGAAGCTGTGTTGGAACCTTCTAGTCATGTTTTTGGGGGGGGGGGGGGCGGGGCGTGTAGGTGTAATTAAAATGTGATGCAGACCTTCATGATAGCAGGATCGATATAATCAGCAACGTTATGGCCTTCCCAGATCTCCGGTATCTTATCATATTTCTCGGATGAATTCATTAAGTCCCAGTATTCTAAGGTTGAAAAAAAAAAGTTATGTTTACAGCAGTTTCTAGTATCCGCAAGTACTATGCCTCCACGAGGAATACTCTAGACGCCAAGAAAAAACACTTTACAGGGTAAACAGAAGAACTGTGTCCAACACTGCCTAAGTTACTAATAAGATCAACACTGACATGCAAGTCCTACCTTCAACTACAAAAATAATCCCACCATATGAAACAACAGAAAATAGCATGGAAGACGTTTTACACAGCTCTGTAAATCTATAACTTCTAATCTTCAAAAATTAAAGCTACAGAGAAACCCTATCTCGAAAAACCCAAAAATAAATGAATTAATTAATTAAAAACTTATAAACCAACAAATTCACTGGAAGACTTTCATTCTCTGAACTTTTTTTCCTGAAACACTTTTCATACAATTGGCATTTCAAAACACCTTACTTACTCTGAAGATCCAAAATATAATCATCTCCCATTTCCAGCTCAAGATCTCGTTCCTGCAAAGAAAACCCCCAAAAGTTTAGTTTGTATGCCCCTAAATGTTTTGCTATACCTCCTTGCCAATAAACAGCCTGTGGCCCCTTCTGTATCTATGTTAAACAGGAGGGCTGCTTTTGTCCTCCTGGTGGACTATGTGTCCTAGGCACTTTGTTCACTGTGATGACATCGGCTGAGAATCTATGACATTAAATAGTGTTAAGAATTCTCCACTCTGTCCTTGAACCTTACAGGACTAAACCCTGAGTCTACTGCATCAAGCCTCTTTCATGTGACTAAAGCCCTTAGCCTCTGTTACACAGTACCCAACACCCAATGCTGCTTTCTACGTCTTCTGTCACACACCATAAAATCCCGGACAAAGAGTTATAGTAACTCACTCTCTTCTTCCTGGGCTCTGCAATCTCCATTCTTTTCCTTCGAGCCACCACTCCTTCTGGGATGAAAGGAGGTCTCTCCTAAGAACACATTATTGATAGTATGTGAAATGCCTTCCAGAATATGACCGAAACTTAAGAGAAACCAAAGTTAAAAACAAAGACAGTCTACAACAAAACCACCAAAACAACGGAAACAAAGTACACTCAGGAGTGAGCTTCAGGGACAGAATGGGCCCTGAGAGGAGATGAGGCGACCCTCAAACCTGATTCCAGAGAGCATTTGTCAAAACTAAAAAGTATCCAGAAAATTATATAAGACAGGAGAATAGTAGATCAGTGAACAAGAAATACACATAAACCCACCACGTATGTTTAGAATTCAATGGCATTAAATTCACTGATTAGCTGAATCCAATGACTTCCTCATGAAACCAGGCCCACAAGTGGTAAATCTCCCTCAAAACAAAATAAATTCAGCACACACAAGTCTTTGATCCAGAAGAGGAATCAAAGCAAAAAACAAAACCATGAAAATATAGAGGAAAACGATACTTTAAAATATTTTAGGAATGAACATAGCCTGTTCTCTGTAGGACTGAAAACCCAACAACTATGAAAGTAGTAAAATGTGTAGCTTTTTTGAGAAGTTTACAAAAAAAGGGAGGGGGGGACTGGGGAGATGGTTCAGCAGTTAAGAACTCTTGCTGCTCCCGCAGACCTGAGTTCAGTTCCCAGCACTCATGTGACAGTTCCAGGGGATCTGATGCCCTCGTTTGGCCACAGACACCAGGACACACGGTATACATACTTACAAAGCAGGAAAGACACACATAACAGAAAAATAAAACCATAAAAAAGTGACAAAGATTTAAAATAAAACTTTAGATTTATTTTAGGATATAGAAATTTATATCCTAAAATAGATTTATTTGTAGCAACATACGTGTGTAAAGATGTATACTGCTTATAATGTCAATAAAATAAAAATGTAAAAAAAAATACTTCCATTGGTTCAATTTAAAAAGGGGGGGGGTGCAGTTACTTCCAAGCTACTGTTAAGGGATAAACAAGATGGTTACTAGCAACAGCCTCTGACAGGAAGAAGCAGGGTACACAGAGCTCTTCATTACTTTGGTTCTTTTCTTCATGCACATGTGACTTTACCATCAGTGAGAAACTGAAATCTCTATGTGAAGTTCACTTGTATCCACATTTAACAATCTGCAACCCCAGGAAGACTTGAGGAACCCATTGACAAAGTACAGCAACGCACCCACTGAACCGCAAAGGCCCTCCAAAGGGCCACCTTACCTTATCATCTCTCTTGTTTGGCAGAGCTAAATGCAATCTGTTCAGAACCTCATTCACTTTATTTCCTTTCATTTTCGTTTCTACTCGATGAGCCAAAAGCCTATCACAAGCCTAAGGAAGTGCAAAACCAAGGCAGAGTCACAAAGCCATTCTACACCAGCCCATCACACAGTAAAAGGGAGAATCACGTGAGCCAGCCATCGACAGCTGGATTAACAACTGGGTATGAACTCCCTCCATACTGCCCTTCAGCAGGTACCTAGGATGGGCAGACTACTTTCTGGTAAGAAAGATGCCAACTCTTTCTGGGCTGAAGGCCAACCCAAGACTGAATCCTGAAGCAGCTCAGTGTCCTTACCCCACTGTTCCTCACAAAATTAAAATGCCCCCCCATAGATCTCTAGTAATTTGAACAAATAATGCTATCCAATGAAAATGAAAACAAAACAAAAAAACCCACCAAAATTCTTTTCAGGGTGTAATTCATACTGACGTTTCCAAAACAAAAGCACCAACCTCTGTTTTAACCTGGATGACACCTTCCTCAGTCAGGGTACTGGTCTCAATGACAGGGAATCCTTCAGTCTGCAAGTCCATAAATATTTTCTGGGAACAGGAAGAAAAGAAGTGACACATGCACTGTTGTTTCTCCAGTTTCCCAGAGAACAAACTGCACTGTTTCACAAATGGAAGTGTATTTGCAAACATATTTGTTCAATAGCCATGGTTCGTTTTTAATCTCTGAAGAACAAACAACTACAAGCTAACTTTTCCAATATTCTTCTACAACTGAAAAGAGATAGATAGACAGACAGACAGACAGACAAGTTCCTACAGGATCAAAGCTACATAAATCTGAAGTTCTACAAAACAATCTGTAAGCTCACCCCTCCCATTCACTCCTAGTTCAAAAGATGAACTCAGCTGCAGGCTACCACTGACCTATATCCTCAGCCCCGAGATGTATAATTTTCAGGAGGAAAAAAAATGCAAGAAACAGAAAGACCAAGCTGGGCGGTGCTGGCTCACGCCTTTAATCCCAACACTCAGGAGGCAGAGGCAGTTGGATCTCTGTGAGTTCGAGGCCAACCTGGTCTATAAGAGCTAATTCCAGGACAGGCTCCAAAAGTTACAGAGAAACTCTGTCTCGGGGGGAAAAAACAGAAAGACCAAATTTTGTTGTTGTTGTTATTGTTTTTTTTTTAAAGGCAGAGGCTTGATTTGTAGCCCAGACTGCCTAGAATACGGTATGTAATACAAGGTGGCTTCTGCCCCAGCCTCCACCTGCTGGAACTGATGTATAATCTCTATATGTAGAAAAGATAAAGTTTTCCAAAAAATGTTTTCAATGCTATTTCTTAAAGTTTCTGCCAAAACAGTTCAAGAGAACGCCTTAGAAAATATAAAAACTGGTTATTTATCTATCATTTTATGGCTCACTAACACTGTAGAGAAGGGACTTGGTATGTCCTCCATCAAATGTCATGTTTTATACCTATAAACACTCCCTAGTTCAGACACAGGTGACCAACTCTCAATAGACATTAAAGCTTCCCATGAACAAAGTCAACTTCTATTATCAAGGGACTAAAGCATGGTTTCAGAGAAAGCCAGAGTCTGAGCACAAATTCTGTCATTTAGCAACAAATGAACTGGTGTGGTGAGCCTCTCTGTGCATGTGATAACTGTCAGTTGTCACTATCATATGATAATAACAATGCTGTTGAAGGACCAATTAAGTAAAACGACATGCTCTATACTACAGTGTTAAACAAGCTGTAGAGTCTTAACAACATCCATTTCCCAATTCATATGGTACCAACAACTAAAAATGTAGGCACTGCTTACTAGAGAGATGTAAGCCAGGGACCAGAAAGATGACTTAAGGTGATGTCAGTTTTCTATTACACAGCTGGCAAGTAACCAATTATCCAGACACTGCCTTCACTAGACAGACAACCGGGCCTCAGAAGGGCGACTCACTTACCTACCACACTGTTGGTGAGTAGTGAAGTTGTCCTGACCCCAAAGTCTAAGCACCTGACAGCCTGTTTCACTTCTCAAGCCTTCTTTGTGCTACCCACTCTCCTCCTTCTGCCTTCAGACTGACAATGTGAAATTAGGACTGATTTTTGTTTTTAAAGACAAACTGATTCTGACATCAGTAGCAGATAATTAGTAACTTAAAGAATATAGAGCCCTGATAGCTAATCTTACCACTTGAAATGTACAGATGGGAGGATGAAGAGTTTAAGGTCATCCCAACTTACATTTAGACCTTATCTTTTTAAATAAATTGCCAAGCAAAAACAAAAATAAAATAAAATAAAATAAAAAAAAACCTGTTGTGTTCTGCCCAAAGTATACATCTTACGACAACACAATTCTTACCATCTATAAAAAACCCCAACAAATGAGAGCAGGAAACAGCATGCTCTCAGGAAACAAAAGGTCCTTCCTACCTCAGGAGCCTTCTACCTTAATTTAAATATTATAAAAGAAATAACCAGATCACATTTCCACTCTAGTGCATTGGTTTTCAAAAAACCAGTGTGCACCATACTGCTACCATACCCCAGGAGTTTGGACCAGGGGGGTCTTTGTGCCCAAGAATATTAATTTTAGACCAGCCTCTAGGTAAACATGAAGGTATCTTCTAGTCAGGGGACATGGAGAGAACACTGCAACAGTACATGTCTCTCCGAGCATTTATCCTGAAAACTGTCTACTAAAAGGATTCAATCATTTGAAAAATTGTGCCTACCAAAACTGCCTGCCTCATGGGCAATGTTGGCACACACTGCAGCATGCTCACAGCTCTGAAGAGGCCATCTTCTGAGAGCTTACAGAGTCCTTCCACTCACTTGTCAAACTTATTTAAGCACAGACTCCTCCACACAGAACAAAGTAGAATAAAGTAAGCCATATTCACACTACTCTAAAGAGAAACTTCTAGGAAGTACTTCCTAAACCACCTGTTAGCCTAAGGCCTGGAAAAGATAAAAGTACACCTCAAGGCACCTGGCTTCCCCCGGGTACCAATTTAAAAGCAGCTGTTCCCTAGGTAACCACACTTGCCAGTGGTTCAGTGTCGCAACCTCACAAAACAAGTGTTTCCACAGACTGAAGACAAAGTAGGAACCAGGAAACTGTTACTTCAGGTTTAATGTCCTGCCACTAAACCACTAGGGATCGTCTTAGTTTCTAGAATATAAAAAACTGGTCTAGAAGCACTAAAATTTCTCCTAAATGAACATCTGAGGATTCAAGATTGGTCTTCAAAAAAAAGAGTGTACATATATATTAATATGCCAAGTGGTTTACCTGATCTTCTTCAGAAAGCTCGGCTATTCTCTTCACATCACATTTGTTTGCTACAACAATAAGAGGCTAGCAAGGAAGAAAAGAAATGATTAGTTTCACACTATAGATGTAGCTCCTCCTTCTCCATGGCATTGCTTTCCACAATTTCATTTACCCAAGCTGAGACCAACTACTAGTGGAATATAGAAAGTGGAAAGTTCTACAAATAAACAACACATAGATTTAAATTGTGACCCATCCTAAGCAGTGCAATGAAGCCTTCTGTCTTGGTGTCACATTCCCCCCAGGACACAAATTATCCTTTTGCCTGGCATATACTGTGCTGCTACCAGGCAACCAGCCATGGGGCTTACGTCAGTTATCCCCTGTCACAGTACTGCATGTGGTAAAGTAACACACAACATTCAGTATTTCAGATGTCCACAGTGGTCTTCTTAGAACCCATTACCTATGAATAAGAAGGTACCCGTGTGTAAATTAAAATATTAGTTACCACACGTACCTTGTTGATAAACAGAGGTCTGATATTCTGGAAGAGTTCTAGCTGCTCCTTCAACCCATGTCCACACTGCTCAGACAAATCCATCACATACAGAACTGCAGCTCGGAGATGGGCCAGGGCTGTGATAGCCTGCATTTCAATGGTGTTCCGATCCTCCAAAGGATGATCCAAAATCCCTGGGGTATCTACAACCTAACAATCAGGCTTCATTACTCGAAGTATACTCACTCAAAAATGCCTTGGCTGGTCCCAGAGTCATTCTCTTATATCCAAATCAGTTCTAGCAAAACTAGTAAGTAAAATGACACCAGAAACTGACAATGATAAAATAAACAAAAGAATGAGAAAAGAGTACATAATTCTTTATAAAGCGGAAACAAAATCCAGGAACCTAGTATGGTGACTCACACCTGTAAGCCTAGCACCAAGGAAGCAAAAATAGGATGCCATGCGTTTAAGGCTAGAATGACCTACACAGTGAGCTTAAAGCCAGCCTGGCTCTCGTGAGACCTTGTCTCAAAAGAACAGATACAGGGATCTAAAGAAACCTGTAGAGCCCAATAAAGAGATACTGGCCTTAGGAAGAAAGAGTCTTTTTTCATACAGCCATCAAAATCCAGAAAAACTAAAAAGCGACAACTCTCCCAACTCCCAAGATTTGGCTTCTTCATCATTTATAAATTAGATTTGGTTGTAAACTAGACTATTTATGCTTTTCAATAGTAAATGCCATTTCTAGTGACAGATCTTAAAATAACAGAGTATTTAGAGATATCATTAAGGAAATGAAATCACCCCTGCAGAAGTAGTGCAGAAATCTATACAGCAGCTGCCAGCGTACATAAATACGATAGTCATTACACATCTCCAAAGCTCGGGCCAGTTCTCTTTTCATGACAGAGAGCTCTCAAGTTCTTGGTGAGACCAGAGAAACAATCCCCAACCTCAGAATTGTCCCTAAAGGACTCTGCTCACCACTGGCTGTATACTAAGTGCACTACAGGTTGGAGATATACTACAGCTCCTTAGATATCATCAAAACCCAGGATGTTTGTTCTATGTTTGCAGACGAGACTCACCTGCCAGCGCAGATACTTATAGTCCATGTGCCCAACAAACAGAGATTTGGTGGTAAATGCATAGGGCTGAACATCTACATCTGCTCTTGTCACCTAGAAGACGACAAAAATAATGCTTTCATAGTCACAAGAGTGCATATCACAATTTTCCCCCAAACAATCTAAGCACTGCATCCACACTTTATCAATACTAATTTTAGCTAAACACAACACTGCTCAATTTTCAGCTACATAGGCTACCGATGCAGGAAAATAGCAGGCTAAGAATCAGTCTGGGCAACTTGGAAAGATGGTCTTAAAATTAAAAGGCTAGATAGCAGCTAGTAATGCCTAGTACATGTGAGGTCCTGAGTTCAAAACACACAATCTTTTTGGTAGAAAATAAAACCCCAAGGAACTAAACAGTAGTACAGGACAGATAGTATCATTTTGGCAAATGTCTTGTTCCTCTCTTCCTCCTTTACACCAGGGGTCCACCAACCACTCTATTCTCCAAGGTTCAATTTGCAGCTCATATCAGTCAGGAACTGAAATTTTCATCTTGCTGAATTAGTTTAAACTACAAGTCAAAAAGCCACATGTGGCCAGAGACCACTATATCATCCCCCAGAGCACAAAACAGTCACAGCAGATTTAGAGAAAGCCGACTAGCATTTGAAACTTTGATTAGAATCCCCAAGAGCATTGTGTGCTACTAAAGTCAGGACAACTTGTGGGTAAAAATAAAACTTTCTGGGCCAGCAAGGTGGCTGCCACCAAGCCAGATGACCAGAGTTCAATTTCCAGGACCCACAAAGTAGAAGGAGAGAACCAAGTTGTTGACCATCACACATACACTCACACACAAACAGCTTCAAAGCAAAATCGTTCCGGCACTGAGTAAGCCTCAGTATGTCCAGAAATAGCAAATCAAATCACTTGTTCTTAAATGTCACACAAGAGCTTAATAATTCTACTCAGGTAAAGAGGGACACAGCCCAGGTACGGAGCCCATACCTCATAATCCCTGCATTCTGAAGACAGAGGCAAGGTAGCAGGTTTAAGGTCGGCCTGGGCTACCTAACTTGACTCAGTCTCAGAAAGAAAAAATTGGAGAGACTCAGTAAACCTCTATTACAGTAGACACATACTTCACATGAAAGCTGACACACTCACCAAGGTAACAAATCACCCAAATAGCTTCAGGCAGGCAAACTCTAGCCCTGTGAGTGCTACCAGGCATAAGAGTATTCCCAGACTGAGCTGACACAACACTGTCATGAAAACCTCTCAGTTAACAAAACTTAACTGAGATGTCTCATACTCCTGAGAAATTGTAGGGCACACAAGAATCAAAATGAATGGTCCAGGCAATCACTACATAAATCTAGGTTCAAACAATGAGTTAAACCTCCTGAGAGGAACTCGGATGTGCTCATGCATCAGGACCTAGAGAAGACAAGGGCAACCTTTACTAATGACTAGTTAGAATATTCCCAAGCCCATCCTAAATCCAACAAAGGGAATGAAGCAGTACTTTGACCTAAGTTAATCACACAGCTGTCTTATAATAAAAACACACCTACCTTATTGATGAAGCTGGATTTCCCAACATTTGGATACCCACACAAAAGCAGAGTCCTTGTATTTGGATCAATGGTTGGCAAGCGGGATAAATGTTGACGTACTATAAAGATTTTAAATTAGAAATTTAGAATTTAAGATTGACTTGAAATTTTATTTCTACTTAGTCATACTCCAGATTCATAATTACCTGCACTGCTACCTCAGCCTTCTGAGTAGCTGGAATTACACTTTTATAATTGCAAAACTGGCAGAGAAAGTGAGGGTAGTAAGGAATAACTATAGAAGCTAACAGTATATACATGTACACACAGGAGTATTTTCCAAAGATGGCTAAACCACAAATCAAGTGTTCAATCTACCAATCTGTGGTTTTGGTTGTTTTAGGTCAAAGTGAGACTAAGAACCATGTTACTTAGTTACTGGTACTTGGTCCACAGCGTGCTCTGATGCATGCATGCTGGACAGGAACTATTTCCGCTCAGTTACCTCACTTGTAACACCAGCATGGCTCTAGCATGGCACCCACTGGGCTATCATGAGAATCCCACAGATCTATAGGAAACACTTTCAAAGAACCTTAACAAAACATTTCAGGGAAAGAGAACAATGCCAATCAAAAAGATTGGAGGGCTAGGGGTGTTGCACAAGGTTCAATTTCAAGCTCTAACTCAGAAATTATCCTATTAAATAAAGTATTTTTAAGTGTATGTTTTACTTAATAGATACTAAAAGCATGCATTTCACAAATCTCCAAAAATATTAAAATTAAAATAAGTCCCAAACATAAAAGAACATCATAAACCCCATTTCTGCTTATGTGTAGCAAGTACCTTGTTCCAAATACTCCAAACTCTGCCTCTGTCTCTTGATAATAGTACACATGCGCCCAAGGGCAGCACGCTTCAGCTGCTTGCAGCGGTACAGAGAGTCACCATATTTCATAAGCCGCACATAATCTTTGGCAACACTTCGAAAAAGAGAAAATATCTAAGGTTTTTTTTGTTATTTTTAATAATAACTTACAAGATACTTAAGTAAGAAAATAACTTACTTGTCCACCAAATTTTTGGCAATATTTATTTGACCTAGAGCCAACTTGTAATGATCCTTGTCATAGAGGATATTCATCAAGTCAGCGTAAAATGGATGGATATCCTACAATGGAAAAAATGAAATATACAAAACGTCACTGTGGTGCAACAGTTTCTTAGTCTTATGCAACAAACACGAGAATAGTCTCCCTTTCCTCTAACTGTCAGCTCTGATCCCCAGACTCCTCACCTCACCAATAACCCTGTCAAATTACTCCTCTAAGGAACCAGAAGCAATCCCAGGGAAGGAGCTGCAGCAACCACTGGTAGTCACCCCAACCTCCATCCAATGACAGCATCACAACTACTCAGGACAACACACAGACACCTAAGGAACTGTTAGTGCTGCCAGTTCGGAAGGCAACCCACCTTTTCTTTCCACTTGAGCACGCTGCACGGGAATTTTATGAACTCAAGTTTACTAGTAACTTTCCGACTGCCGATAATCACTTCTTGTAGTAGATCGGCCTACAGCATTTACTCTCTTCAATTCCCTCAGGCTCCCTGCAGACACCTTCTTTCCTAGTTCAGCTTTCTTTCTTTGATATGACATGCTATATATTTTTATGTTTATGAGCTCCATTCACAGAATGGAGCCATTAATTTGATTTTTCTATTTTTGTTTGTTCTGAGACAATGTCTTTATTAGCCTTGGCTGGCCTGGAACTCACTATGTAGACCAGACTGACCTCAAACTCATAGAGATCTGCCAATCTCTATCTCTAAGCACTAATAATTTATTTTAATTTGCTTTTCAAAAATAGTGTTTTGTACCAGGCAGGCACTGTGGTGCAGGCCTTTAGATTCAGCACTAGGGAGAGAAGCAGTAGATTCTGTGAGCACAAATCCAGCCTGGTTTACAAAGTGAGTTCCAGGTCAGCCAGGGCTATAATTATACAGACTCACAAGAAAAACAAAGAAAAAAATGTTTTATTCTGTATTTTATGTTTGTCTTTGATGGTAGCACTATGCATCCCTGGCTGAAGAACTCAAGATCTTCTACCTACTGCGACACTAAGCTCAGCTGAGGATAGGGCCTTTTACTGCTTAGAACTGTGCTTGCCATGTGTCTTCAATGATTTATAATTCTGAAAACTTCATCTACCTGAGAACAATTTCAGAGTCGTAGGTAAGATTGTTACTAGGCAGTAGTAACAGAACAGGCAAGCAGTTGAGGTCTCCTACCTCTCATATATTAAAAACTAATGAAGAAATGCAAAAATAACCACGAAAATTTGATTAACTACTTTAAAATACACTGTGTACTAAAGTGGAGTATTTCCTAATATCAAGTCACTTTAGATCATCTCATTCTTTTTTGTAACCCTCAGGTTCTTTCCAGTACTTGACCCTTCCCAAGAAATGAACGGTGTCTGCCTTTCCGTTTCTGAGCCGAGCAAACAAGTGACAGCCATCAACTGCGGAAGTCCAGCTCTGTCTGCTGCTGTCTGCCCCTGGTCGGCAAAGGAGGCTGCCATCATCCACTAAGTAACAAGCTCACAAACCGGGGCGCCTTTGGCCACTAACTCTGCTGAACCTAGAGGAAAGGAGGCCTCAGAACAAGGAAGGGTGAAGTTTGGACAAGCCACAGGCCACCCAAGAATCCTGGGCTTCAGAATATGCAATCAACAGCTTTCATCTAAGCTAACACTGGCAAGCCCAGACACTCACTATAAAGAACGCCTGAGAAGACAGTGTTGGAACTACTGAGATGGGGTTTGGGAAGAACACCAAAGATTCAAAAAACCTGGACTCCAAAACTAGCTTTGTCCCCGAATTACTGCGTAACTGACAAATCAATTATTTCTTCTCTGACAAATGAATACATCAAACTAGCTAAACACTGATTCTCTGAAGGCTTATATTTATATAACAATACATGTCACTTACATCCAATTTGGGGAAATCTGTCAAAATCTGTGACAGTCTGTCATGGTAATTCTGCTGAGTAAATTTGACTTTTCTCATATAAAAATGTCGAATTCGATGAATTTGATAATGCTTATGAATAACTGTTGGAGTCTTTCGTTGAGTCTTGGATAATGTCAGGTCAATAAAGTCCTATGGTTAAAGAAAATAATTAATATACAATTCAAATATGTACTTTCTACCATTTGTTCATTACTGTCTTAAAACACTAACCTGGCACTACATGTTTTAAACTACAAAATTTACTTTTTCTAATTCAATTGTTTTATATACAACTTGGCTCATCTTCATAGCTTCGGGTCTTTAAGAAAACTTGTTAGCTGCCACCAAAACCAAAATGGCTGAGAGACTCTCCACATTCCTTAAGAATGCCTGAGCGTTTAAACAAGCAAAACACACTTATGTAAATAAAACAAAAGGGCCAGTATGGGTGGTGTCCACTGGTGTCAGTCAGAATCCTTGTCTTAATTATGCCCTCACTCAGCCCCTACACCAAGTATGCACCATGATCAACCAGGTCACACTTGACAACTACCCAACACCTGTTTCGGATAATGGGAACACACTCGATGTTCCCAGTCACCCCTAGGACCCTCACTTGGATGGCTAGAAATCCTGGGGATACTCCCAACTGGTGGAAGAGGTCCCTCCCCTGTTGCCCTTCTAATAAAAACGGAAAGGGGACCAATTTGCTAAATGATTACTGAGATATATTCTATCCCATGCTTTTTAAAAATGCTATTTTAACTTTCAAATTCCTAAGAAAACTCATAAGAATAAATCATAAAAATTATCGAAAAAAGTCAATTTCAAGGACTTTGTAGCTTTAATTTTAAGGGGATATAAAATAAAAAAATAAAGCCCATCATCTAAAATTTCCTATGTATATAAGGAAACAACTTGAGGATTTGAGATTTTTTTATTTATTCCTCAGTAGGAGTGGGAGGAGAGCCGGCTTCTCTATCCTCATGGCTCCTTTGTCACTTATATAAAAATGAAGCCATCTTACTTTCCCTTGAACACTTCCATTAATTCAGCAATACTATTTCCTGTAAAAAGGATAAAATGAATACAGGTTGAAGATAAAATAGTGAACGAAAACCCAGAATCCAGTGATAGAAAACAAACAAGCAAACAGGCAATCATAACACAGCCTGTCAAAGAAGACATGGATGCTCCGACCAGTGGCTTCTCTACTCCGCTCCCTTCCATGCTCCTCACAGCCTTAGGGAGACAATGCCTACTAAAACGATTCCCTAGGCTGGACCATTATCACTACATCCTCATACCACCCTAAATCCTTAGTATTTATGGGGAGTTTGCATTCAGGGTTCCTCCCCCATTTCCAACAAAACAGGATTTGAGTTCATTAAAGAAAATGGCAGAGTTCTTATGTAGAAGAATCCATATACACCTGTCATATACTTTACTTTGCTGTAACACTGTTTGTACAGAATGTTTTTAAAAGTCTGTGCGCCAGGCCTTTGCATGGTAGCTCATGCCTTGAATCCCAAGAGACAGAAGGCAGCAGATTTCTCTAAATTTCAGGCCAGGCAGGGTCCTGGGGTCTTGAAGGGACGCTAGGTTTGGGGAACCAAAGATAAGGAAGAGAGTGATTTGAATTCAGAGACTGGGCCTCATCTCAGAGGATCGCCAAGACAAAGTTTAGCAAGTGGAAACCGGCACCTGGGACCGAGTGGATCTACAGTGTCCGCCTCTCCCAGCCACGGGGATACAGGTCTGGACCGTTCCTGGCCACTTGTCAGGGAAGAGGGAGAGAAGCGGAAACGATCTCTGTCACCCCTACCTTGGCAGACGGCACCACCGTAATCTTCTTAAAGTTATAGTGCGCCATGCCGGCGGTGGAAAGCACGAGGAAACGTGGAGACTCGGCAGACCGGACTTCCGTTGTCGGGGGTGGGCGGGACTTCCGACATTATGAGTGACAGAAGTTTAGCTACCGGGCTCAAACATTGCGTCACTTCCTGAATACGGGGCGTGCATTCGCCGAGGCGCGCTCCTCGTCCCGACACTGCCCCCGCTCGGCTGGAAGGCCCATCGCCAAGAGAGGATGGGGCCAGCTGAGCCGCGGAAGAGATCGGCCGGATTTGAGAAAAGTGGGGAAGCTAAATCCTTGCAGGGTGAAGGATGGGCCTCCAGACTGGCCCCCTTGGAGGTCTTTGGAAACATTTTCACTAAAGCAGGCTTCGGGGCTCCAAAAGCTGTTCACTGCCTCGGGGGACCCCGCGGTCTGGGCGAGCGGAAAGACGCAGCGCTGGGCACCTGCGTCTCATGGTGGCCCCTCAGCAACACGTGCTGTCTCCTGAGTCTGTAGAAAGTTATTTATTTGAGTAAATAATGTTGACATGGGGCCTCTGTTAGTGGTAGAAACTGTATCCTTCCGGGTGCCCCTAGCTCCCTCTCCTGACCTTGCAGCCTCGCAGCGGTTTGCAAACGTGCGGCCTTTACCCGGCCTGGGCCAGTGAAGAAACCCTGCCCAGCACTGCTGCCCTGAACGAGACCAGGCTCAAGACAGACACAGAGTCGAACCCATAGAGACCCACAGTGGATTGGAGCCAGCCTTCCCTGATTTGCTGTCCCTGTCAGTTTAATTTAAACCACTTATTTCTTCGGATCGTTGGAATCCTCCTTGGCTCAATCCATCTAATTCTTGCCCCCTGATTGTTCTTAACTATATGACCCTTTTTCAGGTATCATCATCTCTTTCAGACCCTCTCCTTTATTCCTGAGACATCCATCATTCCGGTACTTAGTGTCTAGAATCCAGTGGGCTTTGCCTTCCTGTTGTCTCTCCCTAACTCCTCAAGGTTCTTCCTCTTCTGTGTCTCTTTAATGGTGGCTTTACAGCTTCCATCTGGACTACTTTGATGATAGGGGTTTCCTTCAGCCTGGTTTCTTTTTCAATTCTAATTTGACATTTCAGTCTGAAGTGGAATTTCTACACTACGTGATTTCAGATCTGTCAAATTAAGCATATCTGAAAATCGAGAGCGTTTAATTTCTGCTTTTCTACGTAAGCACATTCTTCTGTGCTGTTGAAAAGAACAGCCTCACACCCTGGGTCCCACGAGGGTCCAAACAAGACTGAATACAGAGCTTGGACAGTTAATATAATTTCCACTCTGGCAGTTTAACTCAAGAGTCTCATGTGATGTAAAATCTTGCATAGGGCTGACTGTAAGTCAAACATAGAGCTCAAAGCAGTGGGCCCCAAATTAACTCGTTCAGCGCCTACAAAAACCTTACGATGTTGCTGGGGAAACAGAAGCATAGTGAGGCCAGATGCCAGCATATGGCTGCACAGCTCACAGACAGCAGAGCAGACCCTGATTCAGAGTGGCTTGGCTCCGACAAAACCTGCTTTGGGATACTGCTTCTAAGTCGGTGTGCGTGCCCTCTCACTTTTCAGATCTCTTAACAAGTCCTGTTCCTCTTCCGTGAAAATGTCTTTCCTATAGTCCCAAGATTCCAGTGTTAAAGATCACTTTGAAACATGATTTTTGTCATTTACTATCTTTAATATTGCTGCCCATTTTTGTGTCGGCAGGTTAGACAACCATGCTTCCCATGTCTTTGAAACCTCCAAGATCATTGGAATATACTGGCTGGAATCATGTACTTCTCAGAAATGCCCTGTCGGTTGCAGCTGAAATGAGCAAAGCTATTTCCCTATTGTTCCCCTTTTTGTTTTGTTTGTTTGTTGTTTTCTCTATGTCAGGACAGACGGCTCTGACTGTCCTGAAACTGGATTTGGAGACCAGGCTGGCCTCAAACTCAGAGATCCCCTGCCTCTGATTCCCAAGTGCTGGGATTAAAGATGTGTGCCACCACCACCCGGTGCCCTCCTGCCCCTTTATTCAGGTCTTGTGCTTTTCTTAAACTCCCCAGTTTTTCGAAGCTCTCATAGAACTAGTTTTTTCTTTTCTGTTGTTGTTTGCTTGGTTGATTGATTATTTTCTTTTTTAATGAAGTCTTGCTCTGTAGTCCTGACTAGTCTGAGTCTCTGGTTAGCCCAGGTTTGTCTGGAACTCACTATGTAGCCTAGAATGGTCTGGAACTCACTATGTAGCCTAGGGTGGTCTAGAATTCACTATATAATAGTTCAGACTTGCCTGAAATCTGTGGTGATTATCCTGCCTCCACCTCCTGAGTGACAGGTTTATAGGTACGAGACACCACACTTAGCTAAATCATTTTTTTTTTCTTTTGGAATGCTGGCGGTTGAACTCAGGCCTACCATGTCCTGGGTAAGCACTCTGCCACTGAGTTTCACCCTCAGCCCAGCCCTCTTTTTCTTTTACCATCATTTAGATAATACTTCATTTGCTTCTGATGGGAAGTCATTCTTTCTTCAGCACTGATGTGAAAGAATTGGGACTTTTCTTACTTTTATATGACCTCAATATTCAATTTTTAGTATTTAAAAATTTAGTATTTAAAAAATTCCAAGCAATGGCCAGACATGATTGTGAATGCCTTTAATATCAGCACTCAAGAAACAGAGTCAAGTGGATCCATCTGAGTTCAAGGGCAGCCTAGTCTACAGATCAAGTTCAGGACATCCAAGGCTACAATGGAGAAACCCTGTCTTTAAAAAAAAAAAAAAAAGAAAGTTGGATGGTGGTGGCTCATGCCTTTAATCCCAGCACTTGGGAGGTGGAGGCAGATGGATCTCTTTGAGCTCTAGACTAGCCTGGTCTTCAAAGTTCCAGGAAGGTCGGGGTTACACAGAGAAACTCTGTCTTGAAAAAGAAAAAAAAGAAAGGTGTCCTCAGCAACCTTCTGGTCTGATGCTAAGATTAGAAACTCCTTATCCAAGGTCACACAGGTGTGAGTGACAGACAGGACAGATCCTGCTAAGGCTTGCTGCTCACTTTCAACAAATCTCATGAACAGTCATTATATACACAACACACTCAGGGACAGAAGTTTTTGCATAATATGAAATGTCAATATACGTGATCGCCCTGATTTACTCGGTACAGTTGAAGGAAGCTTTTCATTCAGAAAAGGAATCAATCTTTAAAAGAAACAAGGATGCTGGGCATTGGTGGCACACACAGAGGCAAGTGGATCGCTGTGAGTTCAAACCATCCTTGTCTACAGAATTCCAGGACAGCCAGAATGACGCAAAGAAACCCTGTCCTGAAAAACCAAAAGATAAGTAAATGAAACCAAGATTATCTTTGATAAAGAGAAAATGGGCAGTGATGTCAGAAAATAAACTGGAAAGAGTTTTATAAACTAACAAAAAGCTAACAGATCTCAATTTTTTTTTTACTTTTTCCTAAGAATTTGAAATTACATTTGTTTATTTGTTTTGGATTTTTGATTTTGTTTGTTTTTGAGGCAGGGTTTCTAGTAGCTCTGGGTGTCCTGGAATTCTCTGTGTAGATCAGGCTGGCCTCTCAGAGAGCCGCCTGCCTCTGCCTCATGAGTTTTGGCATTAAAGGCATCACCACCTGACTGAAATTATATTTACTTGAACAAGTGAGGTAGAGTCAAAAGCTTTAAGTTAGGCTTCACCTCCAGTTTACAAGCTGTGTGAGCCAGAGCATACTGCTTAATTCCTTTGATCTCTAGTTTCCTCATTTGTAATATGGGGGGGGGGAACCAATACCTACCTTCAAAGGATTACTGATGGCAGCTAAGAAATATGAACACAAAAGCAAAGTATGAATTGAGAGACAGTATAGTTACCATTAGTCATAAATTTTAATTCTAAAATTCCTTTTGGTCATAATGTATATAATGCCAAATTTCATTTAGAAATTATTCCTTCCCATGAATGCCAATAAAATAATCTCCTTAACTGCTTGTAAAATAGGGGGTGAATAAACCTGGCTTTGCTTACTGTTAGTTACTTGGTTTTAGCTGACTTTGAGAGGTCATAGAACTGAGCACTGTAGTATTAGTCTCCCACTAGCTTCTCCTTAGCTAGCCCTCAGTGAGACTGGCCCTGATGATGGTTTCTATCTAGGTTACTTTTCAGGGACCTGGAGATTACTTTTGTTTCAGTACCTTCTTTTTGTTTGTTTGTTGTTGCTGCTGAGTTTTTTGGTTTGGGGCTTTTTTTCTTTTCTTTCTTTCTTTCTTTTTTTATTTTTCAAGATAGGGTTCTTTGTGTAGACTTGGCTGTCCTGGAACTCACTCTTTAGACCAGACTGACCTCAAACTCAGAGATCCACCTGCCTCTGCCTCCCAAGTGCTGGGATTAAAGGTGTGCACCCACCACTGCCTGGCGAATTCAGTAACTCTTTACTTAGGCCTGCACCAATGTCCAGTGGTTGACTTTTTGAGGTTAGGAGGCCCAAACTCTACCCTCAGATAATGCTAACACTGTAATTTTCTGAATATGTGCCATAAAGATTAATTACACATGGTTACTTTACCTCCAATCAACCTTTCCCATGCCTTAAATTATCCCCCTTATCCCACAAATGCCAACAAGCCCTATTGTGAGTTATGTAGATTTGAGACTTGGATCTGTCTTCTTAACCTTGACATGTTAGAATAATCCTTCATGCTTGGGGACATCCTCATGATTCAGTCATTTCCATAGAGATCTGGTTCAATAACACAGTCATAGAGATTATTTGTTAGCTTCTGGGGGATAAGAACTACTAGAGGAAAAGAAGAAACAAAATATTTTCTCTTTGTCCAGCTGTGAATATGAAGTTGGAAAATCAGGTCTGGAAACTGAAGCCTTCTGTCAGCAGCTGTCTGCTCTGAAACTGCCCACTTGTAGAGGATGCCTAGAAAGACACAAACATCCTGAGCCAGAGTTAGACCTGCAGCGATGAGGTGCCAAGCACCTCACACCACCTGCCTAATGCTGAGAACCCCCATTCCTCCCACTCCTTCATGGCTTGCCTGCTTCAGTGCAGCCTTTTACAGGCAGACGTGTGTCTCATATG